ATACTTTTCTAGTTGTGAAATATGGCAAACAATTTTAATATCGTTTGGTCCGGTCCCAAATTAGATGGGAAGCTCGATTACAATTATTGGGAGATAATGATGACCACGCACCTAAAAGCTCAAAATCTTTGGAACTTCATTGAGCTTGGTCTTGCAGAAGGTGCTGATGCAAACTCTCAACGTCGAGATCAACTCGCGTTGGGACAAATTCATCAGGGTATTGATTACTCTGTTTTTGGGCAGATAGCCAAAGCCAGCACGACAAAAGAGGCATGGGAAATTTTGAAAGTGTCATACAAAGGAGTAGATCGAGCACAAAAGTCCAAGTTGCAGTCATTGAGAAGGTTGTACGATCGATGTGAGATGACCTCTACAGAGACAGTGGGGCAGTATTTTTGCCATCTTACGGATCTTGTGAACAATATGAGATTATATGGAGACAAGATTGAAGAAGGAACTGTGGTTGAGAAGGTCCTTCGAACCATACCGTTGAAGTATGATCATGTGGTTTCTTCAATAACAGAATCACATGATATTGACTCGCTGACAATTGTAGAATTGAAAGGTATGGTAGAAAGTCATATTGACAGGATCGAAGCAAAGTCAGAGCCACTAGCAGAAGAGGCTTTGAAGAGTCAAGTCAATCTTAACACGACTGGCTCTAATCAAAGAGGAGGAGGGTCCAGTAGAGGTCGTGGAAGAGGAAGAGGAGGTTATAGACGAAGAGGACGTGTTAACTTAAATCAAGGGAGAGGTGGAGATAATGCCAAGCAAGATAAATTTCCATTTCATTGTTATAATTGTGGCAAGTATGGGCACAAGATTGCAGATTGCTGGCATAAGAAAAACAATCATGACAATCAAGCTAACATTGCTGAAAATTCTGGTGAGCATTCTAATGAATCTGAAACTTTGTTTTTGGCTAGTAATGTTTTGCCTGAAGATGAGAACAGATGGTTTTTGGACACTGGATGTAGTAACCATATGTGTGGAAAGAAAGAATTATTTTCTGAGTTGGATGAATCGGTCCGGTCTGAGGTCACTTTTGGCAATAAGACAAAAGTGCCAATTTTGGGAAGAGGTAAAATTTCAATTCAATTGAAAGATGGTACGCACAATTTTATATCTGATATCTTTTTTGTTCCTGAACTTCACCAAAATTTGTTGAGTATGGGGCAATTGTCAGAAAAGGGGTATGACATGAGAATCACTCAAGGGTGTTGTACCATCACAGATGCAAAAGGAAATTTCATAGCAAAAGTAAATATGACTAAAAATCGACTATTTCCTTTGAAACTCCATCATGCACTTCTTTCTTGCTTCAATTCCGAGATTCCTAATGATAATTGGTTATGGCATATGAGGTTTGGGCATTTTCATTTCTCGGGGTTAAACTATCTTGCAAGAAAGAAGCTTGTTTCTGATTTGCCTGTTGTTAATATTCCTGATCGTGTTTGTGAGATTTGTGTGATTGGGAAGAAACATAAAGTACCTTTTCCTGTGGGTAAGTCGTGGAGAGCCACAAAGCAGTTGGAGATTGTTCATTCAGATTTATGCTCACTGGAGGTTCAATCACATGGAGGTAGTAAGTACTTTGTCACATTTATTGATGATTTAAGTCGGAAAACATGGATTTATTTCTTGAGGCAAAAGTCAGATGCATGTGATGTTTTCAAACAGTTTAAGTCTTTTGTGGAAAAATAGAGTGGTTTTGAAATTAAAATCTTAAGAACTGATAGAGGCACAGAATATATTGTTTGCGATGAATTCTTAAAAAAGCATGGGATTCAACATCAGATGACAGCTAGATACACTCCACAACAAAACGGAGTGGCTGAGAGAAAAAATAGAACTGTCTTGGATATGGTAAGGTGCATGTTGAAGTCCAAAAATCTGCTTAAGTCTTTCTGGGCAGAAGCTGTTGCTTGTGCTGTTTATGTGTTGAATAGGTGTCCAACTAAAAGTGTTCGGGATAAGACACCTGAGGAAGCTTGGAGTGGGAGAAGGCCTTCTATCAGACATCTTAAGGTCTTTGGTTACTTAGCTTATGCACATGTGCCGGACCAGTTGAGGAAGAAGCTTGATGATAAAGGTGAGAAGTGCATTTTTATTGGTTATAGTGACACATCAAAGGCTTATAAATTGTATAATCCAAAAGCAAAAAAAGTAGTTATAAGTCGTGATGTCACTTTTGATAAATATGGTGTTTGGGATTGGTCTGCTAAAGAAGAAAGTTCAGTTGTTGTTCCTATTATTCCCAGTAATATTGATGAGCAGCCTATTCCAGATGATGTTCAATCTCCTTTTTTGCCTGAATCATCGGTTCCGAGAACACGCGAGCGTCACTTACCATCTCGCTTGCAGGATTATGCTTTAGGTAACGATAATGACTTGTCTGATGAAGAGATTGTTCAGTTTGCTCTTTTTGCAGATTGTGACCCTATATCTTTTGAGGATGCTGCTACAGAAACTCATTGGCTTAAGGCGATGGATGAGGAAATACATGCCATTGAAAAGAATGGTACTTGGGAGTTAACTGACTTACCTCTAGGAAAGAAGCCAATAGGAGTAAAGTGGGTCTACAAAACGAAGTACAAGTCTAATGGTGAAGTTGACCGTTTCAAAGCACGGTTGGTAGCAAAGGGTTACAAGCAAAAACCAAGTATTAACTATTTTGAGGTTTTTGCTCCAGTAAGTAGACTTGATACAGTACGCATGCTTATTTCTATTGCTGCTCAAAACAATTGGAAATTGCATCAAATGGATGTTAAATTTGCATTTTTGAATGGCTTTTTGGAAGAAGAAATATATGTTGACCAGCCTGCAAGATATGTGAGGAAAGGGGAACAGAATAAAGTTTACAAGTTAAAGAAAGCCCTATATGGCTTAAAACAAGCACCGAGAGCTTGGTATAGTTGCATAGACTCCTATTTTGTTCAAAATAGTTTTATGAGATGTCCTTATGAGCATGCTTTGTATGTTAAATACACTGAATTTGGAGATGTTGTTATAATATGTCTTTATGTGGATGATCTCATTTTTACTGGAAATAATTTGAAGCTAATCTCAGAATTTAGGGAGGCATTAATTAGCAGATTTGAAATGACAGATATGGGTCTAATGTGTTACTTTCTTGGACTTGAGGTTTCTCAGATGGACGATGGAATTTTTATCTTACAAAAGAAGTTTGCTTGTGACATTTTGAAGAAATTCAATATGAAGGATAGCAAGTCAGTTTTAACTCCCGTAGCTGAAAAGATGAAGTTGTCCAAAGATGAAGGTGGTAAGAATGTGAATGTTACAGCCTATAAAAGCTTGATTGGGAGTTTGNCAAAAGAATCACATTGGGTTGCAGCTAAGCGAATTCTGAGATATATCAAAGGTACAAGTAATGATGGGATTTTTTACTCCACTGATGAAGTTGTTAAACTTGTTGGATACACAGACAGTGATTGGGCTGGAGTTATTGAAACCAGAAAATGCACATCGGGATATGCCTTCTATCTTGGTTCGGCTATATTTTCTTGGTCTTCTAAGAAACAACAGGTTGTAGCACTTTCAACTGCAGGAGTAGAGTATATTGCAGCAACAAATTGTGCCACTCAAGCAATTTGGTTGAGGAAAGTCTTGGAGTTTCTACAACATCAACAGGATGTACCTACAACTATTTTCTGTGACAATAAGTCGGCAATTGCATTGTCCAAGAATCCAGTTTTTCATGGTCGCAGCAAGCATATTGATATCAAGTATCACAAAATCAGAGAATTGGTTTCAAGAAAACAAATCAGCATTGAGTATTGTTCCAGTGATTGTCAAGTTGCAGATATCTTTACAAAACCGTTGAAGACAGAATCATTTCTCAAATTGAAGAAGGCAATTGGAATAACTAGTTTTTTTTCTGACTTAGTTTACGGGAGGCAATGTTATAATAATATATTAAACAAAGTCAAATTGTTTTATGGCATAAGAATAGGTCTGTTAGCTGTGTACGTGGCTGTTGAGATTTTGTGGTAGTGCATGAATTCATTAAGCTAGTTTTTAGGGAAATTTGTTATTTCTATTATTATATATAGTGCATGCATTTCAGTATACAAAAGTGAAGAGAAAAGCTTAAAGCAATTATTAATAAATTCTCTTTTCTTTCATTCTTGTCCTAGTTTATTTGCAGAATACATTATTGCTTCTCTTCCTCCACTTATCCTTTAAATGTTTAGATAAACATTACATAATTCATATCCATGCATTTAATTTACTTTTATCATTTCATCCCAATCACGAGAATGTCCCGGATAAGAACAAATAGAATTTTTTTTTTGGGCCATAGAATGTAAGATTAACCAGGAAAAATTTCTTGTTGGTTGTTAAAAATAGATATATAAAATGAGTTTTACTAATGATTTAAAATAATGTGATTGCCAAAACGCAAAACTGCAGCACATTATCGTTTTCAAAACCAACTTCAAATATATTGAGAAGAAAACTCAACCCAATTTGATTGGATTTTTTTTTAAAGATGCAATCTTGTTTAGTCCTTTAAACCAAACAGAGGCGATTTTTGGCAGAACCTAATGGTCATTTTAAAAGCAGCTGATGGAAGAACACAACTAATAAAACAAGCAAAAGTGGAAGCAATAACAAAGGAAAGTTCGATCACATGCACCGACTGCCATAGAAATTAACTCGAAATACATCAATATGTTGTGCACACTCATTTATGCCAAAACTAATCCACAGAGAAAGCTTATTGAATTAATGAGACCGCAAATTATGAACTCTCAAGTAAAACCGACTAGTACATTCACAAAAAAAACATATATGACACTTTTCCCTTTATGTGCTCCAACATAACACCAGAAACGTTTTCCACGAAGTATAACTGATGTTTGTGATGACAGTTTTATCCGTATAGGTAAATTAAATAAAGAAGACATCAAAAAGTAGAAAAAACAAGAACTCTATATCGTTCAAGCAGTTTTCACTTGCATTTAAAGAACTAGTGTTACCATCTAACCTGGTTGATGCTATGACACGACCCACTTCATTATTTGGCCACCATAGAGGATCAAACATACTTTAGACTGTATCTCTTCAAGCATTTTGCATCTGGACCCGACACGAAAACACTACAGGCAGATAGCCAACTCGACTCTGAACAAAAGCTCGACCAGCCAGATCTAGAGTACTTCCAATAAGGAAAGAAACATCCTGCAAGTTTTCCCGCCTATGTCAATTTCACTGTAGATACTCAAATTTGAAAGAAAAGGTTCCAAAAAATATGCCATCAGATGAACCAACACTAGCATGAAACCCATATCAGTTCAAGTTAATGACCAACAAATGCCCCAACCTTAAGGAGCTTTCAACTCAAGTGTATGTAACACCGAAAAAGTACATGACAGTCAATAGGAGAAGAAACAACACAATAATACAGTGCAAAGAATTGCATCAACGATAGTTAACAATTGGTTACAAATACAAACATGATGTTTGGGAGAGGTTAAAAGTGAGTCAAACTTACTTTTAAGTAAATTTCTGTTTCTTCTTTTGTACAAGTAAAAGAAGTTTCAGAGAGAACAAAGTTAACTTATTTTGTGAGTAGAATGGGGTTACTTTCAAAATAAATAACTTATTTATTTTCAGCATTGACCAAAAAAAAAAAATTTATTTGTTCCAGAGTGTTTCCATTCAGTAGATGTTTTGAACTTATTCAAATACGCAGACAGTCGTGCAGTGCTACACAGTTGAAGAGACCATGAAGAGAGTGATTACTATACCTTCAACCGAATTTGAAACCCCCAGATGGAACTGGAAGTTCACCTTCGAGTTGAATCCAGATTGTGTAGTATCACCAGAGGGCAGCTGCTCATCCTCTTCTTCCAACCAATATGTTTCAAGTATCTTCACTGCCTTTTCGTATATTTCAATGTTGTCATGACTCTGGAGGTTCTCAATCTTCTCTAGACCCTCTGCATCATCAATCATTTGCGCAAATTATGAACAAAACCGACTAGTACATTCACTATAGTTACATATATGACACTTTTCCCTTTATTTGCTCCAACATAACACCGGAAATGTTTTCCACGATGTATAACTGATGTTTGTGATGACAGTTTTATTCGTATAGGAAAAATAAATAAAGAAGACATCCAAAAGTAGAAAAAACAAGAACTCTATATCGTTCAAGTGGTTTTCACTTGCATTTAAAGAACAAGTGTTACCATCTAACCTGGTTGATGCTACGACACGACCCACTTCATTATTTGGCCACCATAGAGGATCAAACATACTTTAGACTGTATCTCTTCAATCATTTTGCATCTGAACCCGACACGAAAACACTACAGACAGATAGCCAACTCGACTCTGAACAAAAGCTCGACCAGCCAGATCTAGAGTACTTCCAATAAGGAAAGAAACATCCTGCAAGTTTTCCCGCCTATGTCAATTTCACTGTAGATACTCAAATTTGAAAGAAAAGGTTCCAAAAAATATGCCATCAGATGAACCAACACTAGCATGAAACCCATATCAGTTCAAGTTAATGACCAACAAATGCCCCAACCTTAAGGAGCTTTCAACTCAAGTGTATGTAACACCGAAAAAGTACATGACAGTCAATAGGAGAAGAAACAACACAATAATACAGTGCAAAGAATTGCAACAACGATAGTTAACAATTGGGTACAAATACAAACATGTGTTTGGGAGAGGTTAAAAGTGAGTCAAACTTACTTTTAAGTAAATTTCTGTTTCTTCTTTTGTACAAGTAAAAGAAGTTTTCAGAGAAGAAAAAAGTAACTTATTTTGTGAGTCGAATGGAATTACTTTCAAAATAAGTAATTTATTTTCAGTATTGACCAACAAAAATATTTATTTGTTCTACAGCGTTTCCATTCAGTAGATGTTTTGAACTTATTCAAATACGCAGACAGTCGTGCAGTGCTACACAGTTGCAGAGACCATGAAGAGAGTGACTATTATACCTTCAACCGAATTTGGAACCCCCAGGTGGAACTGGAAGTTCACCTCCGAAGTTGAATCCAGATTGTGTAGTATCACCAGAGGGTAGCTGCTCATCCTCTTCTTCCAACCAATATGTTTCAGGTATCTTCACTGCCTTTTCGTATATTTCAATGTTTTCATGACTCTGGAGGTTCTCAATCTTCTCTAGACCCTCTGCATCATCAATCATTTGCGCAAAGACATTCACATCTTCAATGTTACCTCAGTTCTTCTCAGCTTCTCCAACCTTCAGTATGTTCTCAAGACCTTCCAAGCAGACTGTGACAATCCTTGGATCAGGACAAACTAGAAGGTCGCACAATGGCTTTATACATCGTGCACCAAGAACCTGCCACCAAGTTGAAGAATTAATATTCAACCCAACTGTACAGTAACGTAAGTGAATTAGATAATGGTTAAAAAGAACTATAATTGATTTGCTCGTGAGTTCCCCCAGACGTGGCATTTGAAATAGCCCAAGCAGCCTCTTTCTTTATCTCAAATTCCGCATTTTGAAGCAGTTGGACGAGAGGTGAAATAATACCAGCCTCAATCACAGACTGTATTTTAAGATGACATACGCTCAGCATTTATCTCTTAAAAACTTACAAACAAAATCAGAACTGCAAGTGGCCGTGATCCATGAAAATAAAAGTAGTACTATAGGACAAAAATATAAATGGTGAACATTTTTAAACAAGACAACAAGAGAAAAATCTTCAGTCTTGACGTTCAAACAATAATTTGACAACTAATTTAATGGTAAACATCTATAAACAAGACAGGAAGAGGAAAATTCTTCAGTCTTGATGTTCAAACAGTAATTTGACAATAAAAACTAATAGCAGTTCTACTTCGACATCCGCACCCACTCCCCCAAACCAAAAAACAATTTCATAGTAGTAACTTGTGTACCTGAATCTGATCCTTATTCCCAGCGATGATGTTTGAAATGGTCCAACAAGCCTCCTTTTTGATGCTTTTCTTATAATTTTGAGTCAAGAAGTTAAGCAGACAAGGAAGTGCCCGATTCTCAATAATAACCTGAAAATCATTAAAGAGAAGTGAGTTCGTGAAAAAGATATTGCTGCTTACATTCTTCAATGATAGTATTCTTATTAGAGTTTTATTTAGAAGGCAGGCAACTTGACTTTCTGAAAGATGCTCATAAGGTTGATCTCTCCAGCTGATATAGAGTTGAAAAAGGGTTCATCAAAGGATGTTCAAGGGACCCTACAATACATTACAATGGCATACCAAGAAATGCCCCCATACACCTTGAGAAATCACAACTAATATTCCATTAAATGATTTAAATGAAGTTAAGATGCGTAGTTCAATGAGAAGTGCTTGAATCAAGAATTTCAGTATGCATAACTAAGCAGAACTATTTTGAAACGGAAATTGAATTTGAGTCATTCGGCTTTAAATAAAAACCAAGGCACTCCCAAGTCACTACAAGGATGGTCAAACATTTAAATTGGTATCAGAACACAGAGGAAGCCATTTAATAGGACCTTATAGTATTTAAATTCGGGGTTGTAACAATGAGAAACAATGATAAAGTAGGTAACTTCTGTTAAACATCATTAAGGATAAACAGAAATGCTGCATATAGACATAAGGCCCTTGTTTGAGCCCCATTTATCAACCAAAATACATTTTCAACAGTGATTTAATATCATTTCAACCACACATTTTTCAATAAAATAATATTATACGCAAATAAAAAAAAATCCTTATTTTTTAACCACATATTTTTTATCAATACACTATTCAAAAATTCATTTTCTTCACAAAAATAGGGCTCAAACAAGGGCAAAGTGAACATTCCAATTTCCAAGGGTGTCCTATAGAGTGCTAAAAGACCGACTACATAAAAAAACAAAAGAATTAGAAATATCAGTAGAAAGTTTTTTACAAGGGCCATGCTACATGACCATAAGGGTTGACACAACTTTTTACAATGTCAGTGAATATCTCATACCCACGTCATGAGCAAATTAAAATAATAGCAAAATCAATAATATCCAAACAACTTTTTTACACTTCCCAGTGTACCAAATAAATTTTCTAAACTAGACTAAGGGCATGTTTTGTTAAGATTAAAAAGTTTACATAAAAGAGAAGCGAACACTTTTTTTATCATGTACGTCTTGGTCAAAGTGATTTTGACGGAAGGCGGGTCTTATAGTCAAAATAAGTTTTTTTTACTTTTATCTTAAATATTACAGAAGCAAAAATAAAATAAATTGCGTTATGTATGGTCTGATCAAAGTTAAAAATAAGTACTTGTTTGTGCCCTATTAATTGTGAGTAATGTATTATGAAATAGTGATTGATGTTGAAATATGTTGTTAAAAAAGAATGATTTTTTATTTATTTACGTGTAATATTATTTTAATAAAGAATGTGTGATTAAAAACGAATACTGTAAAAAAAAAAATAATGTAATAGAATGTAGAAGAATTGTAGACAAACAAAGCTTAAGTAAATTATTTGGAAGTGATGTAGATCTTAATATCAAATAAGTAATTTGTTTTTACTTTCCATTTTTATTTTTTTTAATAAAGTAATCTACTTTTAAGACCGGCCATGCTCTAAGAGGAATAAGATGATAAAGACTAAAAAGCAACCCTAGTTATTTGAAAAGGCTTCTTTCTTCAAAACATAACTAACAATCGTTCTCTACCACATGTAGACTCAATGAATTCTTGTTTTAATATACTTGACCATACCCTAGGCATTCCACATCCTACTAGTTTCACACGATAAACTTTGCAAAATGAATATATTTGAAACATGAACCATCAAGCAATGCAATGCATTTTTTCTCTATCATTGACAGGGAGAAAGGAGAATACGATACACAACAAAGGGGTAAGTACGTAGAACAACATAAACTACTAAAAGACCAGATGACATACCGTATACATTTTATACATAAAACAAGTCAACAAGAGTTGGCTAGTAATTTAGCAGACTGTTGAGACCACAAGAAGGGTGACCCGACCAATTTTCCTACCATGTGAAAACAAATTCATAGGCTTGAAATTAATAAAGGTCAAGTACAAGAGCCTGCTGGATACCTGTGTCTGGATGTCATCTCCAGTCACAATATTACCAACAGTGTGCAGGGCAGGAATCAACACAGATGGAGAAGGATGTCTATAAACCACAAGAAACCATATTAGACAGCTACGAAGTGCAGTTAACAAAACCTAAATTACAAATTAATTACACGAATATAGATGTGAAAAGTAAGGAATGATGTCAAATATGATTTCTCACTCACAGTAAAAGCTCAACCAAACGAGGGCAAACGCCAGCCTCGATCACAGCTTGAATTTTACCATTGTCCCGTCAGATAGACATGACAGTGCCCAACATGCATCAATAAGTACTTCTTCATCATTTGTGTGTATCAGATGAGCAAGAGCAAGGAGGGTAGGCTTCACCTGCTCAATAATTTTTAGAAGGAATTGCCTCAATATAATGTTGAAAAATATAGGCAAATAATAGTGTCACCGTAATGTATATTTGGGCAGAGTAATGACGTTTGGATAGTTTTGAATGGTCGAGGCAAGAGTTCGACTCTTTCTCCTTAAAACGATAATGCCTCGCACTGGTACTGACGATATTGCAGCACTCGTTTCCCAAGATACAACGACCTCGTCTTGTAATAGTAGTACTCCAAATTACAAGACCCGACGGACCCATAAAGTTTAGATCTCTCCACACACACTGGATAACTAAAATGGACGGAAAATAATTATCGAGGTCTGAATTATAAAAGCAGAAATGATGTAGGGACAAAGGGATAATTTCGGGAGAGTAGAAAATCAATTCTGATTTTGGAATGAATTAAAACCGGGGTATGGGGGGCCTATATATAGATGTTGAAAGGTTGTGTCCCAACAGACACAATCGTCGAAAAGTTGTGTCCAAAAGACACAAACAGTTTCGACAGTCAACCGCCACAATCCGCCAAATTTTAGAAGCACCATGTGTCACACACAGAAAATTCGAGAAAGAAAAAATAATAACATAAAATATATTATTATTATTATTAAATAATAATAAATTAATATAATTCAAATGTTATTTTACCAAAAAATATATATCAGCTTGGCCCAAGCCCAAGACCCACGACCCGTGATCGTGCCGTGTCGAGCCGAGCCGAGCCGAGCCAAGCCAAACTGGCCGGACGGCGACCGCCGCGCGCGCGTGTGGCCTTTGGTTTAACCTACTAGCATGTAGGTTCTTTTCCCCTCAAAAACTATTAGTACCCTTTGGGGCCCAAACCCAAGTCCCAAACTTGAGCTATATAAAGTGGTTTATATTCTTCTAATTTTCCTATGTGGAATTGGTATTTTTCAATTTCCCACCTATTTTATTTTAACATCAAGTGGGCATCTTTTGGCCTTAATTTCTCATTCACCCTAAATTGGTTTTGAGAAAATAAATATTCCATATTAATCTACTCATGGAGTAGAACACATTTGGCCAAAGAAATCTTATATCCGATTAATGGGACCCACTAAATTAATTGATCAAAAGTTGGTCAAACCAACTAATTAAAACCAATTTTTCCAACAATCCCTCACATGAATAGAAATTAATACAATAGACTATGCAGACCCTATAGAGAGATCAGGCGGAATGTTATCACATCTCGATAGGTACCTTATGGGTTTGAACCTTCCGTAGTAGAATACTATCGGATTTACTTGGTTAATCAGTGAACGCGGTGTCTTGAACTGTTAGCCGTTTTTGTAAACCAAGACAATAGTATCAACACAATAACCTTCCTAACATTTTCGAGTTCTCACTGTTGTGTTCATTTTAGCCCTGAACAACTATTGGATTTCATAAGTGCTTTAGACAATTCAAGCCTTTGAAACATTCTCATAGAAGCGGCCACACTTCACACTTGTATAGGTGATCTCCTATTAAGAGTACCTGTCATACTCCACTTAGGTAGTCCAAGATATAGGAATCATTAAAAGTATAAGTTAACCTAAAACTTTCTGCAGATAGCACTTCCTTATCATAGGAATGGATAGGAGTTAACTCCGAAGTGTTTATTTGAATCTTCATAACTTAGTTGTCCCATTGAACCAAGATTTTGGGATCTCCAGTCAGTGAGGTTGGGTTACCATTACAAAGTTTCTTATGTAGTAGGCTTTAAGTCCATTCCTCTTGATAGGCATTATACTTGATCTCTTGGTAAG